AGGCTGATGTCTTTCCATTAACGCTGGACAAGTTTTATATATCTTTTGGGAACGGACTTTAAGAAGGATTGCCAAATTAAATAATTTAATACCAGAAATGTGTTCCCCGTTAATAACGTTCATATTTTGTGTTGAGGAATGAAAATGCAGTTTTTGAGTGGAAAGGTTTGATAGACTGACTGACTGACTGACAAGTGATTTAATGAAGGGAGTCTGATATCATCTCCAGGGGCAGCTTTCATTTCCAAGTTTTACACAGACTTGGCTTATCATTTGCCTTCTTACTGGCAGATCACGGGGTATCACCATGGTCAAAAATAAATCCAGCTAAGGATGGAGTGATTCAGATTTGGAATAGAGAGAAGGATATATTTATAGGACACATTAAGAAATGTTAACACCATATCTGAAGTTTTAAAAGATCTGTGGATCGATGTAGATCTCACATGTATTTAACTAGAAAATAATAATGTATTAGTTGGTAAGTTAAGGCCATTGCCAGGGATTTATTAAGTGCAATAAAATCTGTCTGTTCATTGTAGTTGTCTCAGGATCGGGTAGAATTGCCAGAAAAGTGCTGAGCTTACACAGAGGATTAAGTAGGAGTCACAACCAAAACAGGTGCTCCACTTGTTTTTATCCCTGGTATTAAAGGAGAGTATGTTACAGATAATGCAGTGTTATGATATGGTTGGTTGCCATGTGTGCAGCATCAAGTGTTGCTGTAGTTAAATTTGCTATAGACCTGAAATAATAATGACAATTAAGGTTCTGCATTGTAACCCTAGCGCTATGAGAAACAGTCCCTTAAGGACTCTCTCCCCAAAATTCAGACTTACGATGATTAAAATCCAGTTTTGTTTGTTAAAGTCAAAGTAATATAAGTGTTTCCATCTTCCAGACTAGTTTCCTCCACGATTACAAAAATGAATTCAAGGATGTGATTGGTTGTTGGATTTCAAATCAGTAGAGGGTGACAATAAAAGTAATATTGTAACTGATTATTTTTTGGAGGAATAACTATAATATTATTACTGAAATTTATTAGTAATTAGTTACACTACTAGTTACTGGGAAAAGTAATAATATTACTGTAATATAATTACTAGTAATGATTTACTGGCCAACCCTGTTTATATATATATATATATGTACATGTGTAACATTCTAGCTGCTATTCATGCTCTTTTGTTAAGAGTAATTTTAGTTCCTACCTTCCTTGTTCATGGGAACACTTATGAGTGTTACAGACTCAGGTTAACATGTGCAACAGTTCATCCTGCTGTAAGTTTTACTGCTGTGCTGTGTTAGTGTGTCGAAGCAAGAAAAAAAGAAAAGTAAATAAAGAACTCTAGCCCATCCTTACCCACAGCCTCTGTCAAGAAACGAGGGTTACAGACTGGTGCCAGGGGTTTTTCATTGTTGACTTAATTAACCAAGACATTCAATCAGCTAACAGGAATTAGTTGAGAGTTGCTGCAGTCTACAGGTCTGGGAGTTGGTTTCATTTTATTTTATACTTGATCACATCATCCATGCAAATGTATATTGTGCATATAGTATATAGTTTTTTCACCCAGCAGTTTAAGTTTGACACTTCTTTCCAGCATGTTGCTGCAGCCATTAGTGGAAAATGTTGAGGACAAGCTGATAATGATGCAGTGAGACACAACAAAGACAGTATTTCACTACAGAGTGGAATTACTGCCATATTTCCATGTGGATGTTAAGGACAAAGAAAGTTTTTCCACTGTGAAAAACTACACTGGAGCTTGCAGTTAAAGCTTGTCAGATGGACAACAGCTAGATATTGCCACAATACTTCCCACCCGCCTTAGTGGAGATGCACTGTCATTATGGTTGTCATTATCACCAGACACAAGGCAGGGCTATGTGGAATGTGGAATGTGGAGTGTTTTGAAGGAAAGGATTTTTGCTTCACTTCCAGACTTTTGTGAATGCCAGGCAGCGCTTGCCTAAGGAACCTTTAGTAGTATATGCTGCAGAACTGACAAGGTTGGTACTGGAGACATTATCTATGGCCAGCCAGGTATTACAATCATTATGCCAGCAGTCAGGATCACTACAGGCACTACAGCCCAGACAGACACAGCTCTTCTGACCACTTCAATGCAAGATACGCACACCAAAATGACTCCTATAGAGACACCTCTTATGCTTTTCTTAAGAGTCAGCTAGACCCAGGTATGATTCACATCTATACTGAGGAAAGACACCCAAAAAAAAGGGAAAGGAGCTATTGTGAGCTTTAAAGCAGACCCCTCTGACATGGAAACAGATGGTAGCAGATGCTGTGGTCCAAGTGTCGGTTGCTACTGCTGATGAGGCCCCACAACAGGTGCTGCCCCCCTCACACAAAAAGTCTACATGCTATATAATAGCCATAATTGAGAACATTGCCAGTCTACCTAGACACAGGTTCACACATATCTCCAGTGAAGACTAATGTCTATTCCATGTCTGAGAGCAAAAGCTATGCAATGCTATGATCTTTTTCCTACTATTTAGTCTTGGCACACTTCCTATTACCATCACGTTTACCCACACTGTTCAGGTTGTCAGAAACGTTACACAACCATTGATTTTAGGTTCGGACTTCCTACGTGCACATCATGCAGTTGTGGATTTAAGGGAAGGCAGGTACTTAGACTGCTCTCCTGAGCTGCAACACTGTCACTTTATCTCCTGTTGTAGTCCCTGCTATGTCACAGATGACTGTTTTACCCAGGGTTCAGGCCACTGTTGGTGTGCCAGATCTTGAAGCTGACTACACAGGTATCTTAGGGCAAGGTCCACTTTGTTTCCAAGGTCTTCTGGGAGCATGCTTACTTGCACCTGTACCAGCAGAACTGATGCTGGCCTCCAAGTTCCAAGTGACATTAGGCTAGGAGATTTTCATCCACTATGCAGAGAGGGTAAGGATGACAACACTATAGCAGAAGTAGACACAGCCACAGCTACCGCGACAGCAGAACCCTCTCTTAAAGAGACATTACCAGATATCGACCTCAGTCACAATAATGATAAACAGCGTCAAAAGCTTGAGCTTTACTGCTGATTCATATTGATGATTTTAGTGCTCATGACCAAGACTATGGACTAGGGTTGTGTACCGTTCACATTTGAATCTATACCAGTACCTGGAATTTGGTACTGGTACCAAATATAACCCTTTTTCAGTACTTTACTTTCACTCCGTAGCAACAAAAATGTATTTTCAGAGAGGAATAACAAATCAACAGGCTTATCTGTCATCTCCCAGCACTGCATCAAGAGTTCAGTAATAAACACAATCCCTATTTAGTAGCTTCAATAATTTATGTGATGCTTTCGAGGTTATTAAGCCACTATTGCCTCCGCACATTCATTAGTTTTAAAGTATAAAGCAAGTCTTTACTGGATCAGTTGTGAAATACATTTGCAGGTTAGGGGTCCCCAGTTAGCTCAGTGGGTAGAGCTGGCCACCCATGTACTGAGACTGAGTCCTTGCTACAGTGGCCCAGGGTTCAAATCTGACCTGCGATCCCTTGATGTGCGTCATGCCCTCTCTCTGCCCCTCTTTCCTGTCTGTCTTCAGCTGTCACTATCATAAAGGCAATAACAGCCAAAAAAGAAAATATATTATTATAAATATTTTAGGTCCAGTTAATGGCAGCTATGGAAATGTATGACAGCTTTACAAAACTATACAGATAATAACTTATTTGTAACAACAGCGCCATGCAGACTGTTATGGACTCCTGGAAACCATAGGCACAGTTTGAACTTTAAGGTTGAGGCTTCACAAAAAATTTTAAAAGAGAAAACATAATCTAGAGGAATCATAAGGTGTACAATAGTCCACCATATCAATTTATGCTTAAAAAAAACGTAAAACTTTCTGTCTGCAGCATTGTCCACTCTTATAACTTATTACTCATTACCAATGTTCGTCAACTCATAACAGAAAATACTCTGTAACTTGTCTTTCTCTGAACGTAGTGTCCACATAGGTGCACCGACTAAAGGTTCCCCTGGAAACTGAAAGTGAATTTTAATTTCTCTCTGGAATCGTTTCTTGATACTTTCTGATGGTTCTATTTTAAAGATGATTTTTTCCCCCTCCCCTTTATATAGTGTATCCTCTTTTCTATTTGAACACTTTATATTATCTGAGTTTTAACTCAACTGTGCATTTTTGAAATATATAAACAAGTAAAAAATGCATACATTCCTAGATGCATTTTTTTGCTATAGCCTCTAAGAGATTCAGTCAGCCACCTGAACCAACACAAACTGTGCCTGTTGCTTGAAACAGATGTAGGCCTGTATTATTGATCTATACCACGCACACAGGTCCTGATGTCTGTGATAAACAATGCCTGTGATAGGTAAATGTCAAATGGCACCACAGCAGTCAGTGGGAGACGGTGTCCAAAATCATGTGGCCTTTTTAAAAAATAACAAGATTACAACAAGATACAAGATTAAAAAATATTAACAGACTCCAAAAATGACCTGGGCCGAAGCTACCATTTTCCGTGGCATTTTCTTAACCCTGAGTTGTTATTGTAAGACACAGCGCAAAATGTCAATTATATATTATATATTTATGTATAAAATTCTTTGTAACAACATTCTTAAATTACCATGGTCATAAGGATCATAATTTAAGATGAAATGGTCCAAGAGTTAAAAGACTGACAAGCATGATAAGTACTGTACAGACTGCTAGCTGCAGTGTTTTGTGCATTTAAATCGCTGGCTTTAATTACTGGTTAAATTAAAATAGAACTTATTTTGAATCTCTACGTTTAACAAACGTAATGTGGGTATGAGACGTGCTCTGAGGGAGATATCAGATTATCAGAGGCCTGTGTTATTTATTTGATGACTGCCAACTTTTTTCCATTTAAGGGAAGGCATGATCAAAAATAGAAAGGCATCTGCAAGTCTGCCATCATGTATAAAGTCAGTCAGTAAAACGATGGCAGAGACTTCTGGAGTGGTACATAAGGAGATATATGCCTGTGTAGTTGGCTATGTAGTTTGTTTCATCAGTAATGTGTGACTTCTGTTAAACCCCAACTATATGTCCTGCCTTACTACATGACAATGATGTGTAAAGCCAATGGATACTGTATTACAGTAAGTGTTTAAAGAAGCCTTTGCATGATGTATGCACATATGTTTTGGCTTTGTTTTATTAATGTGATAACAATGAATGGACGTTTCCTATTTTTCACTTTGATAAGGGACTCTGTAAGTATTTAAGGCTGACCGCTCTGAAATTGTTTTGGTAGTATGGCATATTACTTTAAGAGACTGGTAGAAGGACATTACTGTCAAATTTTAATGTATATTGTTCCTAAATTAGCTATAGACTGCACAGTTGGTATTTTTGCTATGAGATAAACTAAACTGATTCTTTTTTTGTCAAAATTTCACCATGGTACATTGTATTAGGGATTTAGATTTACCATAATGGACAAGGACTGACTGTGTAAAAAGTTAGACATTAACTTTACTTTAATATCAGTAACAGTTAAGTTATCTCCTCACTTGTCCTACCCTGAATAGCAACTTTCAATTGGATTTTGTCTGTTTTCCTGTTTTTCTGTTTTAGCACTAACTGGATACAAGCTAGGAGTGAGAAGGCAACTATGGGGAAGATTGCCCAGATATAGTGTGTGCTCATTGTTAGATTGACCCATTCAGGCTTTGTAATAAACTTCAATCTGTCCCTTTTTGACAATTTGCATTAAACATGTGTACTCCTTTATCGGAATTGATGTTTTCTGTCATGCTATATTAATGGTGAGTAAGTGGTCAAAGTCAGCCAATTGAAACATATTTAGCTTTATCTGCTGTATTTTGTAATATTAATTTTGTTTATATTCAAGTAAACTTACTGTAATATATTCTTGAAATATGTGCAGCTATGTTCTGTCCTGTTGTATATGATTGTTTTCTAGATCATAGATTCATTAAAGGTATTCTCTGTGTTAAAGTTTGGCCACACTTTGACAAATAACACATTTAGTTGATTTTTACATAAAAAATATAAAAACATCAGTGTGGCATGTGCAAAGTTTAGACAACATACACTGTCAGTACTTAGTTATCCTAAGTCTGCTAAATCTTTCTGAAGGTTTTTCGCATTCCCGTGGGGTTTTTGATTTGCCTTTCAAACCAGCATACAAGCAGTTCTCTCTGAGAGTTCTCTTGCTCTTCCAGATCTCATCTTACTCTCCACAGTTTCCCCCCGCCCCTTCATTTTTTTTTCAGAGTCTTACATAGCTGCTTAGAGGAATCTATAGGTACTGAGTGTTCCCACAAGGTTTGAAGAGTCAGAGTATTTGCAAAGGGTTGAAATCAGGCCTAATGAGCTGATGTAAAAATAATCTGCAGAACTCTTAGGTTTCTTAGGCTTCAATTAAGTTGTTATATTTTATATATTTGTTCAATTTATGAAATAAAACAAATGATCCAAAATGTGTTGTTTGTATTTTTCAAGGGGTGGCCAAACTTTTGCATAGAACTGTACTCATGCTAAAATCAGCTATGGGGATACTAAGCAGAAGTATAATATAGAGTAAATAATACAGATAAAATGTGATTATTGCAGTTTATTGACATTATAATAAAACATTTCAACAGCTAGTTCATATTTTATGCACTCTGTCAAAAGGCTCCAAAAGGATGTTTTCTCCTATTCAGCACTCTCAACCTGGAAAAAAGAAGGGAAAAAAAATATTCAGCATGTATTACCAACATTTAAGCTTCTTAAAATTAATTTCACATTCACTATATCAAGTCTCTACACACCTCTATGCAAAGTAAATAAATAATGGTATAAAGAATACATTTAGATCATGAATTGAGTTAAACATTCACATTGAACTGAACTGCCCACGTAGTCATTTTCTGTGAATTCTGATCACACATACCTTTCCAGCATCACAGCTCTTGACTCTCAACTTGTTGACCTGGGACTCAGCGATGTCAGCACGCTCCTGAGCTTCCTCCAGCTCATGCTGAACCATGCTAGCCGATTCCTCCTGTGAAGTGTTTAGAATTAAGAGTATTTTTTAAATCATATGACTATAGTTTCTTATAGCGTCATTAATGAATTAACTTACTTATATGTAAGATCACAAAACACTTGACTTACAGCCTCCTCAGCCTGTCTCTTGTAGGCCTTGACTTTGACCTGAAGCTTGTCCACCAGATCCTGAAGTCTGGTCACATTCTTCTTGTCCTCCTCAGTCTGTACATATATATAAAGAAATTCCAATGATGTATAAATACATAATTAAGACATTAAGAACTCACAGTAGTTTTTAGTTAAATAATAAATCACCTGGTAGGTCAGCTCCTTCACTCTATGCTCATATTTGCGGACACCTTTAACAGCTTCAACTCCACGTCTCTGCTCACCTTCAACTTCACTCTCCAGCTCACGCACCTGAAATGTGATAAATAAAAGTTTATAAAAGAATTTCAGTTCATATATATATATATATATATATATATATATATATATATATATATATATAAAGCATAGAGATAAATTAGAATTGAACTGACTCAGTGTAAGTCAGATGTACATTCCGAAAAAAGCCATTTATAGTATATGCAGTTCATACCCTGGACTCCAGTTTCTGGAGCTGCTTCTTGCCACCCTTCATAGCAAGGTTCTCAGCCTCATCCAGACGATGCTGGAGGTCCTTGACTGTGACATCATGGCAACCTGAAAAGATGTGCAGTTTGGAATTGGAATTTTAAGTCTTGACATTATTGGTCAAGTGTCAGGAAGAATTTGGTGAAGTAGTTTTTTTACATTAAAAGAGGACTCACATCAGTGATAGCCTTTTTGGCTTTCTCCTCAGCATTTCTTGCTTCCTGAACTGAATCCTCCACTTCACCCTGAACCTGGACAAGGTCAGAATCCAGCTTCTTCTTGGTGTTCATAAGACTGGTGTTCTGAGAGTGAAGCAGTCCGACGCGCTCACTGGCATCAACCAACTCCTGCTCAGCCACTTTGCGTCCTCTCTCTGTCTGCTCCAGAGCAGCTCTCAGCTCCTCAATCTCAGCCACCATCAGGCCATTTCTGCGCTCCACCATGGCAACCTGCTCCTTCATGTCTTCCTGTCCTCTGACAGCATCATCAAGGTGCAGTTGGGCATCCTGACAACAAAAGAAAAACAGTGAACCATCTGTACTCTTTTTATTGCTTTTTAAATAAATTATCATATAAACCTCACCTTGAGCTGTCCCTGGACATTCCTCAGTTGTTTCTGGGCCTCAGCAGCCTGCCTGTTGGAATGACTCAGCTGAATCTCCATCTCATTCAGGTCTCCTTCCATCTTCTTCTTGACTCTCAGGGCATCATTACTGCTTCTCACCTCAGAATCAAGAGTGCTCTGCATGGAGTCAATCACCCACTGGCTGTTCCTCTTGATCTGCTCCATCTCCTCATCCTTCTCTGCCACCTTCCTGTCAACCTCACCTTTGATCTGGTTGAGCTTGGCCTCCTCATGTTCCAGTGTACCCTTAAAAAATCACAAACACAGCAAAATTACTTCTTGCAGAAACAAAATCAAAATGAATGTATTTCATCATATAAGTGGTCCGATACTGAAATCAAGAGTTTACCTCAGCTTCCTCCAGTGCCGACTGAATTTCAGACTTCTCAGTCTCCACCGTCTTTTTGGCCTTCTCCAGCTCATGGATACTCTTTCCAGTCTCACCAATCTGTTCAGTCAGATCTGAGATCTCCTCTATAGAGCAACCAAAGTCAGAATATAGTTAATAGCAACCTACGGAAACTGTCCTGCAAGATAGTTAGGAAAATATGTTTTAGTAATTAAAGAAGAACATACTTTAAAAGGAATATTTATCCCTTTGATTCAGAGTGATGAGCCCAGGGGTTAAGCCAAATTCAAAAGGTATAAGTGTCTCCTCAGTATTGGAATGTTGTTTGGGCAATAATAGTTTAAGTTCATACAAGAGAGTTTTGAACACCATTCAGGTTCATAAACTACTCTTGTAAGGGTGAGAGAAGGACCCACACAAGACTAGTTACATTTTCAAATCCAGTGAGATTGGCATACGTTGCAGGTTCTTGTTCTCTCTCTTCAAGGTCTCCAGATGATCCAGAGCCTCCTCATAAGAGTTCTTCATCTTAAACAGTTCAGTGCTGAGAGAGCGAGCCTCCTTCTGGGCTCCTTCCAGCTCTGCCTGGCCCTCTTCATACTTCTGTTTCCATTCTGCCAGGACCTAGAATTATATAGATAAGTAACACTGATTACTTGCTAAGAAAGATTTTTGATTCCCTCGAATCAATGTGGTCTTGATTTCCTTTTACCTTATCAAAGTTCCTCTGCTTCTTGTCAAGGTTGGCAGCCAGACCATTAGCTCTCTCCACATCAATCATGAGGTCCTCCACCTCACCCTGCAGCCTCGGTTTGGTCTTCTCCAAAGAGGCGCACTTTGAGTTCACAGCCTCAATGGTTTCCTCAGCATCCTGCAGGCGTTGGGCAAGCTTTTTCCTGTAGTCAAGTATTTTCAAATTGAATTCAGCAAAAACATGTGAAAATACTGAATTAAAAATCTATTTATGAAAGAAATAGTAGAAAGCTTTTATGTACTTTGCTTCCTCCAGCTCCTCTGTGCGCTGGATAGCATCAGTCTCATATTTGGACCTCCATTGAGCCACCTCACTGTTGGCCTTGGACATTCCTAGCTGCAGCTCAGCCTTGGCCTCCTGCTCCTCCTCAAACTGCTCTCTGAGCAGATCACAGTCATGGCGGGCCGACTGAACAGAATGGGCTAGGGCGTTCTTGGCCTGTTGAACATTAGTAACTTACCTGTGAAGCCAACAAAAAGGTTGTTACTTTTTTTCTTTTCTTTATATACATTTTTGGGGGATTTTTATTGGCTAGGACAGCTGAAGAAAAACAGGAAATGGAGAGAGAAAGGGGATGATACGCAGCAAAGGGCAACAGGTCAGATTCTAACAAATGTACTTTTTCAAGTTGAAACATGATTTAGTAATTTTTGGATCATATCATATATATATATATATATATATATATATATATATATATGCTACTAAGCATCAAGTGATGTTAATCTTTCTTTTCATTATCTGACAAAATGTAGTTTTTAAAAAGATTTCACTTAGCAATAATTGCAATACATCTGTATAGATTATGTTGCACAGATTATTGCTATGTGACTAGATGATTGAGGTTTGATGTTTTGAATTCTTACTGCGGTATTATGGTAGGTTTATGGTAAGTTTTTTTTAATGACTACATTTGAAAAGGAGAACTCAGTTCAGCTCTTGTCAACATCTAATAACAGGACATGTGAACTAGTCATACCTTTACTTTCTCCTCTATGTGTCTCTTTAACTCCTCAATTTGCTGAGTGTAGGCCTGCTTGCCCCTGGTCAACTGGGATACAAGAGCTTCCTTCTCTTCCAGTTGGCGGGAAAACTCACCTAAATGTAAATATGTAAATGTTTTTTCTCAAAATGGTCATTACTGTTTTCCAGTATTTGTTTTTATTACAGGTGACTTACCATTCTCTGTCTGCAGTCTGGCCTTCTGTCCATTAATGTCATTCAGCTGGCGGACATTCTCATCATTTTTGGCTTTAAGTTCACTGAACTGGTCCTCAAGAGTTCTGCACATTTTTTCCAAGTTGCCCTATAAACAACAAAACATGATGTATGTTCAGTATTTTTATTGACATATTTATTAGCTTATGTATCTGAGC